ATTGATTTGTCTTTAAAACAATCCTTTAAATGTCTGTTCATAGGAGGAAGAGTGTTGAATGTTTGATGTTATAATACCATTTAATGGTTTACATAAAAGATCTGCTTTTAGTTTAAAGTCTCCAGTAAATTTAATAACTCTCCCACATAGCTGGTTTAATATGTTTATAAGTTCATTTTAAGACTTAAGAAATCTTTTGAAGCTGTTATGAAAGGAGAGATGAAAACTATTTTTGGTAACGGGTTTATGTGGGTAATTTCTTACCCTTCTGGAACCAAAAGAGATTAGGTTTTATGTACAGTAAAGAGCCAGGCCAGCCTGCACTTTTCATGTAGTTTAACTAGGCTTTTATATTAATTGTTGGTATTTATTAAAAAAATAATGAATATTTATTAGGGGAAGTAATGATGGATGAATATTTATTAGGGGGAAGCAATGATGGATGAATATTTATTAGGGGGAAGCAATGATGGATGAATATGTGTCAGAGGGAAATAATGATTGATGCATATTTATTTGGAGGAAGTTTAATATGATGGATATTAGGGGGAAGTAATTATGGATGAATATTTATTAGGGGGAAGTAATTATGGATGAATATTTATAAACCAACCAGTTGTAAGCAATGAGTGTTTCTTGCTCAAGGAAGCAACAGCTCGCCCTTGATGGGGATTGCACCCACGCAGTCAGCAGTCTTTAAATTTCTAGTTGGCCATATACCACTAGCTAATCTTTAATATACAAATTTCATATAAATCCCTGTATGACTTTATGATTAAGATTATGGTTATTAATGTATTTATAGCTGAAATAATTCATTATAAGGAAAGGTTGGAATGAAAAAAAATTGATAATGTCAGGGAAAAGCTGTAGTATGTGGGAGGCAACGATTATAATTATACTTAATTGTCTATATGATTTTCTGCTATTTTTAGACAATTTCCTGGAATAAATGTCACATGATTCTTTTCTCTACGCTTTAATAATAGATCAGAGACATTGTAAGGTGAAGGTCTTCTTGTTAAGGTCGTTGAAAAATTGTGCTTCCTAAAAGAGAGATTTATTTCTTAGAATTTTTTTATAAGTGTTAGTTTTGTAGAACAAAACATTAATGTGATGCATAAGTTGTATTGTATATGAAAAATTCACATATCTTTTTTATATTATAGAGAGATCGCACTGTTATTTCTGAAGTATATTTATGAACAAAACGAGCAGGTGTTGATAAGAAAAGATAGCTTAACTGTGTGTATGGTTTTCTTTCAAACTGTATTTTCAACAAAAATAAAAAACAAACAAAAAAAAATGTAAGGAAGTTGAGAAACAAGAGTAAATAGTTAGTCAGTAGGGGAGGTTGATGTATCACTTGATGATGTCATTAATGTCTGGTGTAATAGTGATGCATTATTCACGATTTTACCTTTGCTTCCACAAGACTTGAGATTTACGCCAACGAGAGCCTCAGAACTGGTTAATTAAAGGCTGTATCGCTATAAGTAATGTTCACCAGGCTTTGTCTCTAAAAATGTTATCATTAGTTTAAAGATGGTGGGATTGAGTAATACAAAGTTTAAGTTTTGATGATTGGTATTAATTGATATTGACTTGTATGAATTTCATTATATAATATGACTTGCAAGAGGTAATTTTGTGATTTATCCAGAAATATGAATATTTCTGATTATGCCCCCATTTTGAAAAAAAGGGGGTATATTGCTTTGCACTTGTCGGTCCGTCGGTCCGTCGGTCCGTCCGTAGACCAAATGGTTTCCGAGTGATAACTAAAGAACCCTTAGGCCTAGGAACTTCAAACTTGGTATGGTGATTGGTCATGACCAGTAGATGACCCCTATTGATTTTGGGGTCAAGGGGTCAAAGGTCAAGGTCACATTGACCTTGAAAGCAAAAACGGTTTCCGATCAATAACTAAAGAACCTTAAGGCCTAGGAACTTCAAACTTGGTATGGTGATTGGTCATGACCAGTAGATGACCCCTATTGATTTTGGGGTCAAGGGGTCAAAGGTCAAGGTCACATTGACCTTGAAAGCAAAAACGGTTTCCGATCAATAACTAAAGAACCTTAAGGCCTAGGAACTTCAAACTTGGTATGGTGATTGGTCATGACCAGTAGATGACCCCTATTGATTTTGGGGTCAAGGGGTCAAAGGTCAAGGTCACATTGACCTTGAAAGCAAAAACGGTTTCCGATCAATAACTAAAGAACCTTAAGGCCTAGGAACTTCAAACTTGGTATGGTGATTGGTCATGACGAGTAGATGACCCCTATTGATTTTGGGGTCAAGGGGTCAAAGGTCAAGGTCACATTGACCTTGTAAGCAAAAACGGTTTCTGATTAATAACTAAAGAACCTTAAGGCCTAGGAACTTCAAACTTGGTATGGTGATTGGTCATGATCAGTAGATGACCCGTATAGATTTTGGGGTCAAGGGGTCAAAGGTCAAGGTCACATTGACCTTTTAATTAAAAACGGTTTCTGATCAATAACAAAAGAACCCTTAGGCCTAGGAACTTCAAACTTGGTATGGTGATTGGTTATGACCAATCAGATGACCCCTATTGATTTTGGCGTTAAGGGGTCAAAGGTCAAGGTCACATTGACCTTGTAGGTAAAAACGGTTTCCGATCAATAATGAAAGAACCCTAAGGCCTAGGGACTTCGAACTTGAGATGGTGATTGGTCATGATCAGTAGATGACCCCTATTGATTTTGGGGTCTAGGGGTCAAAGGTCAAGGTCACATTGACCTCTTAGGTAAAAAGGTTTCCGATCAATAACTAAAGAACCCTTAGGCCTAGGAACTTCAAACTTGGTATGGTGATTGGTCATGACTAGCAGATGACCCCTGTTGATTTTGGGGTTAAGGGGTTAAAGGGCAAGGTCACATTGACCTTGTAGGTAAAAATGCTTTCCGATCAATAACTTAAGAACCCTTATGCCTAGGAACTTCAAACTTGGTATGGTGATTGGTCATGACCAGCAGATGACCTATTGATTTTGGGGTCAAGGGGTCAAAGGTCAAGGTCACATTGACCTTGTAGGTAAAAACGGTTTCCGATCAATAATGAAAGAACCCTTAGGCCTAGGGACTTCGAACTTGAGATGGTGATTGGTCATGATCAGTAGATGACCCCTATTGATTTTGGGGTCTAGGGGTCAAAGGTCAAGGTCACATTGACCTCTTAGGTAAAAAGGTTTCCGATCAATAACTAAAGAACCCTTAGGCCTAGGAACTTCAAACTTGGTATGGTGATTGGTCATGACTAGCAGATGACCCCTATTGATTTTGGGGTTAAGGGGTTAAAGGGCAAGGTCACATTGACCTTGTAGGTAAAAATGCTTTCCGATCAATAACTTAAGAACCCTTATGCCTAGGAACTTCAAACTTGGTATGGTGATTGGTCATGACCAGCAGATAACCTATTGATTTTGGGGTCAAGGGGTCAAAGGTCAAGGTCACATTGACCTTGTAGGTAAAAACGGTTTCTGATCAATTAACTAAAAACGCTTAGGCCTAGGAACTTCAAACTTTGTGTGATGATTGGTCATGACCAGCAGATGACCCCTATTGAGTTTTAGGTGAAGGGGTCAAAGGTCAAGGTCACATTGACCTTTTAAGTAAAAACTGTTTCTGATCAATAACTCAAGAACGCTTAGGCCTAGGAACTTCAAACTTGGTATGGTGATTTGTCATGACCAGCAGATTACTCCTATTGATTTTGGGATCAAGGGGTTAAAGGTCAAGGTCACAATGACCTTGTAAGTAAAAACGGTTTCTGATCAATAACTAAAGAACCCTTCGGCCTAGAAACTTCAAACTTGGCATGGTGATTGGTCATGACCAGCAGATGACCCCTATTGATTTTTGGGTCAAAGGTCAAGGTCACATTGACCTTGTATGTTAAAACGGTTTCCGATCAATAATAAGAGAACCCTTAGGCCTAAGAACTTCAAACTTGGCATGGTGATTGGTCATGACCAGCAGATGACCCCTATTGATTTTGGGGTCAAGGGGTCAAAGGTCAAGGTCACATTGACCTTGTAGGTAAAAACGGTTTCTGATCAATTTACTAAAAACGCCTAGGCCTAGGAACTTCAAACTTTGTATGATGATTGGTCGTGACCAGCAGATGACCCCTATTGAGTTTTGGGTCAAGGGGTCAAAGGTCAAGGTCATGACCAGTAGATACTTTATAACCCTTATTAATTGTTTGATCACTGGGTCAGAAGTCATGCATAATAACCTTATCACATGACTAATTGGCTGCTGATAGGGGGCATACATGTTTTACAAACATATCTTGTTATTATTGATGCTGACATAAGGAAAACTGTTATCAAATTTATGTACATTAAATGCTATTTTTTACCATAGGAATATTACAGATGTGTTGTATGTTCATGGTTGTGTTGATTTATCCATATAATTATATACTTATACTGCACATTTATAAAGTTGATTTCCACTGGACTGTCAAGAGGTTTATATAATCTATACACATATATATGTAATGATGATTGATAACTTTTAGCAGGTTATATGGCTCATAAATTTGTTGTAAAGACTTAACAGGTTATATTGCTGGCTCATTTATATGACTGGCTCATATAAGTCTGTAATACAGACTTTTAACAGGTTATATGACTATGCATATAAGTTTGTTATATTGACTTTTAACAGGTAATGGTAGTGCATTACCATGTTTGCTGTAGTATTATCAGCATACAACCATTTTTACTAAGCCATCTAAACAAATGGTGTTTTAAATTATCATGGGGATTTGGTTACAAATGGTTTCGGTTATATAATTTACAACCATTTATACAATGCCATATAAACCTGTCAAAAGTCCATAATTAATGATATATTTAATGTAGTACAATATATTTAATATAGTGCATACACAATATTATATAGCATATAGTATTAAGTTATTGTATATACCTCTAATCATGTTACAAAACTTCTATTTCTCGTCAGGTGGTAGAAACAGTCCGAGAATTGGCGGCATTAGCAGACGCGAGACATATCATGGTAGGGCTAGTGTGAAATATATAATTCCCAGATCCTCAAATTCTTATAAAACATCAACTGTAAAATTAATTATCACTTCTGTAACATTGTCACGAAAATAATCAATTCTCATTTTTCTTTTAATACTGTTTAGTGTATTGTGGTATCTTTTTCATTGGCGAAGCATCGTCAAGAAGTCTCTGTGAATATATAAAATGAGCCGTGTCACGACAAAACCAACATAATGTGTTTGCGACCAGCATGGATCCAGACCAGCCTGCGCATCCGCGCAGTCTGATCAGGATCCATGCTGTTCGCTTACAAACCCTATAACAAGTAAAGAAACTGATAGCGAACAGCATGGATCCTGATCAGACTGCGCGGATGCGCAGGCTGGTCTGGATCCATGCTGGTCGCAAACCCATTATGTTGGTTTTGTCGTGACACGGCTCAAATAAAATGTGCAAAATCCCTTTCAGACTGGAATAATATCTGCCATGTTCTGCCATATTTTTTCTGGTGGATTAGAGTGTAAAAATAGATTTTTAGCGAGTTTCCATTCTTTCCGTCTCTTACTTAGCAGTGTGTAGTCACGAGGTGCGACTTTACTTAAGATGAATTCACAACTGATAAAAAAAGATGTATTCACAACTGTTAAAAAAAAAAAGATGTGTAACAAAAAAAAAGAAGGAAATTTGAATCATATTTATTTAATGCCACTTTGCTACTAGCTTAGACTTGGGGGTCAAAGGTCAAAAACCGAGGTCAGAAATTAGACTTCTTTATATCTAGGAATAGAAACTTCCAATTTCCTTTTTGCTGTTATATTGGAATAATGATTAGAAAAAAGGCTTTGTAAATTATTCAACCTTTCAGTTGATCCAGATCTTTCTTGATCAGGATGCTTTGGTTAACAAAAATCTGTAAAATTGCATTTGCATATCAGATTTAAGTGATTGAATTCAGTTGTTTAATTTATTTTAGATTAAAGTGAAATTTGTGGGGATGCATTAATTCTTTGGTTGTTTTCAACAAAAACTCTCCCTCTCTGATTTGCAACATGTTTTTTTCTATCACTTGAACAGAATGTCATGAATTAAATCAATTGTATTATTGAATTGCTGAATGGTTAGGGGCCCGGCCATCTCACGACCTTGCTAAGACTGCCCTTGGCATCTTCCAGGAACTTTTAACACTGTAACACATTGTCGCATCTGTGTCAATTAAAAAAACAACATGTTTTATTTCAATTTCCACATGAATTAAAAAAAAAATGAAGCGGGAAATGTAATCTTTAGTGAGCCTTGATTATAAATGGGATTTTTTGTAATTCATTTTGGAATCATTTTTAAAACAAGTTTATGAATGAGAGAGATGCTCCCACATATTTAGAATGGAAAAAAGTTTACTTGAGAGTTGTCAATGGCAGAGCAAAGTTGGGGCCTAATGCAAGGTCTTAACCTCTAAGTTAGGAAAGAACCCCAAAGTCATGTTCTAAACCCCAAAGACATGGTCAAACCCCAAAGTCAGGTTCTTACCCCCCAAGACATGGTCAAACCCTCAAGTCAGGGTCTAAACATCCAAGTCAGGGCCCCAAACGACTAAGTAAGGTTCCAACCACCCAAGTCAGGTCCAACCCCTAAGTCAAGGGTCTAACCACTTAGTGTCTCGTGCTACATTTCAATCTAAATGTGGTATTGTTTCGAAAGTATGTTTTCAGAAATTGTTATTGCCGTGAACTTAATATCATAAGATGATTTAAAAAAAGGACTGGAAAAACACAAATGGTGACCTTGCAAACCCCCAATGTAATTATAATATTTATTTGAAAATAGTCCCAATATCAAAATACATAATTGACACTTAGTAATTCTGAGCTGGAACACGAACCCGGAAAAATAATGAGAATTTTCTCTATGATTACATTAATTTTGAAGTGTCTTTCCTTAGATTTTAATATACCAAGTTCTTTATTTGATAATTTACATACACAGCTTTTATACGTTGCTTTTTTTTTACTCATATTTATTATATGGGTTTTTCATTTTTCAGCCTTGTTTCAATTCTAGGTCCCAAACATAAACACGAGGAAAGCCCCCTAAATCGCAGCCGTAGTCTCTATGGTAACACGATCTTATATTTTTCTTATAAGCATGGAGTGATAACGATGTGAACGAAAATTACCCTAGGATGGATAATCTCCCTTTAACTCTTAACCGGCTGAACTTTTTGTACGAAACGGATTCAACCAGTTTTGAATTTGGAACAGTTCATTCAAAGTTTAAGGGATTTCAATATCTAAATGCAAATACTTAGCTTCCAACAGTATCAAGCCTGGCCGAATGGATCCCGGCTTCATACTGTTGGCAAAGGCTAATTACTCTTAGTTTCGGCTGGTTATGGGTTAACGATGATAATCAAACTATCGAACATTTGTTAATAACATGTTGCTCTTGTCACTAATATGATGCCTTTATAAGAAGGCTTTGTCTATGTTTCTATGTACAGCGTGTGTCCGTCCGTCTGTATGTCACATGTTCCATGTGGATTGCAGCATGCTGTGGAATGAGAGAAAAAATCACAAGGAGCCCGTTATGTAATACATGTATCATAAATGTTATCATAATTTGTTATCATGAAGAAACAGGACTTGCTTGGACAAATACAAATCTTTCCTTTAGTTCGTGAAATTGCAGTGAAAAAAATGTAAAATTTCGACATCTACCAGGAGTTGATAATATTTGTCCGAACAAGTCCTGATTTCAAAATTAATTTATTTCAAAGTAGAAAACTCTCTACAAATGAAACAATAATTTGTCTATTTTAATTGGTTGAAATGGTCTTATATGACAAATTATTGTCGTTTTTTTCAATGGCATATTCATAGGTATGGTAATAAAGTACAAATTTATTGTTTCTTTTTGTATAAAAACGAGTTTTGTTATGTGACTGGCTTCATTGAGATACAAGAAACTTAGGTAGAATATATATTTACATTTGTTTTTGTAGATAATGCTAAAGATGTTTATTTATCAGCCGGGCAGATTTATTTAGGTTCTATTTTTGTTACCACTTACGCAAGCTGATTTTTGTCGCTCAATTATAGCAATGAATCAGGTAAAAATCATTTCATTAGATTTGATCATAATGGTCGAATATTCAAGACATGTGGCCAGTATTGTGTAAGCCGCCTAGGGGGCACTAACTTCGGCATAGTCAAACGTAAATACGTCGTATACACAAGTGTTCGTAAACCCGCTTTTGGGACTTAGTCTTCCGGTCATAATCTGATTGTAAAATACCTTCCTATTGCACTTGCTCTACAAGTTAGAAATTGCGCCAACTTATTTTCATGTCAAAGCCAAAGCACTGCAGTGCTTTGCAGAACAAAGGTAACAACTTGTCCCTTAAATTAAATTGCGGCTTGTAGTTGTCATACAAAAACTTTATAATGTAGCCAAACACTCAAACAATTTTGAAGGTACCCATATGAAACTTGGAATGCTTGCTTATCATGACCAGTGGCAGCTGTTTGACAAGGGGCATTATTCTAAAAGCTATATTTTTGGAGTTATGACCCTTTTTAAAATAGAATGTTTGTCCAAATTGCTTATTATTTTAGATGGATGATTTCAAAACTATCAAATCTATCAACTTCCGAGGAATCACCCTTTTTCCAGATTGTGAATACTTGATTATCATGAAATGGCACTATTGTAAGGCAAGAAACATTATCCTGAAAGCAATACTTTTAGATGTCATGCCCCCTTTTAAATTTACAATATTTTATAAAAATATTGGTTATTGATAGTGGTTGCCCTACAGACAAGCATTAACACCACATGCCGTGCTCCTGATTGACTTTTCCCAGGGGAACCATGTTAACATTCACTGGTGCCAAATATTTAGATATTTTAGTAAATGTAATGGTTAATTTGTTAAAACCAATGTCAAGCTTTGACACAAATCAGCTGTTGTAAAGGTTAGATCATATTATGCTTCTATATGTATTTTTTGTTGCAAACATATTTTATATGCTTTAATATATAATATATAATATGTATACATAATAATATTATATAGTTTCTAATGTTCAAACATTTCAGATCACTAAAAGATGATCTTTTATAACTTTTAGATTTAGGTTTTGTTAGAATATTAACCCATAGACTTCTGAAACAGAAACTGCTGTTTTGGCCATCTGTACACATCCAGCTGCGCCAGCTTGCTTGCCGATCTGGCAGTCTTGCATATCTCTATACCTGTTTGCTGATATTTCAAATTTTTTGCCATCAAAATTAAAAAATATATATATATATGACAAGTTTTAAAGATTGACGCTGGACAAGTCAGCAAGTTAAAGTGGATTGGTCTACAATGGGCACATGTTTTTTCATAGGTGTTTCAAATTTTGATAAAAAAAGAGCAATAGAAATGTATCATTTAGATATTCTTATATTGCTTGGGAAAAAAATATTGATCAAATTTCTAAGTGATTTAGTTTAAACAATTATATGATGATTATTAATATTTTAGAATATTTTATTATCTGCTATGTAAATATATGTAATTTCGGATCACGAATATCAGCTTTTCAAAGTTTTGCCAACTAGATCTATATTTGTCAACACCTTAGTGCAGTAATGGGTTAATTCCTTATATAATTTAATAGAAGTTAACCTGTTACTGCACTAAGGTGTTGATATAATTCTTTCATGGTTTGTCATAATGTCTGAGAATAAATACTATCAACGTAATAATTTATCGTATTTCAGACCTTCCATTTTAGACCAATTCCCTTTAAGGGTTAAGTGATAATGTTAGAATATATCTGTGCCACATTACTAAAAAAATCATTTCATAACCATTTTGTAAATGAAAGTCACACTGGCCATCTCAGGTTTTTGTGTCAAATTACTTTTACTTGTATAATAATTTAACTTTGAAATAGGCCATTATTTTGTTACTGAAGAGTTAACAAGCGACTTTTTATAATCATAGTTATAGATTTATTGTTTGAAAGTAAAAGGTAGGGCTAAAATATTGAATATTTTTATATACGAAAAGCCCACCATGAACAGGCCGAGTGTAGTAAAGGTATCCAGGGTATTCAAGGTATTATCCGGTGTTCTATGTTTCCATAGTGATGACCTGATTTGGTGTTTCTATAGCAACAATCTCATATGAATATGCTTATGAATATTGTAGTAAAAAGTATGCTCTGGGTAAAGTCTATAAAACTTGAATGTGGGGAATCAGTCTGAATTTTGAGTCTTGCTATTGGCCGATTTCAGTTATGGCATATAAAACAGCCAATCAGATGAAAGAACTCGAAGACTGTGTTGCCATGTTGAGTTTTGTACTCTGAATGACCCATTTGATCTCTCTTTCAATGCTTATTACCATGTCAATAACCTAGATGTACCACTGTATTGATAATGATGCCGCATCTATTGCTATAGTGATGACCCAGTTAAATTTATTTCTATATTTAGATTTTTATAAATTTCTATTTTTAGATTTTATTTCTATTTTTATTTTTTTTTTTTTTTTTATGAATTTGCTTTTTATTTTCTCCACAGGTTTATTTGGTAGTTAAAGATTATTATATTGCCTTTATATATGCTTTGTTTATTATTGTTTATCCAAATTATTTTTCCTTTTCCTTCTTTTTCTAGCAGTTTTTTTCTGTTTCCATGGAAATAGGCTGTTGGGCATTATATTCTTGTTTGAATCAGGTTATTACAGTAACCATGATGTAGAGTGTTAAAAGTTTTAATTTTTTTTATGTATTTGAAAAACAAATGAAAGGACAGTTTATTTTATGATTTAATTTTGATTTTATTTCCCCCTTCCCCCTGTTTTACACATCATTTATTTTACAATATTATGTTTGGCTACCTTGTTTAGTTTTGGACACCCCTGTTTTGTTTCAATTTACTATCCTTTTTAGCTAGATCCATTTTCAGTTTGATTCTGATTTTGTTAGAAATTTTACTTTTTTCTCGATGTTTGCATTGGTTCTTTTTAACCTTTTTAACCCCTCTTTAGTTTACCTTTATTTTCCCTAACTTCTCTGTAGTAAATTAACCTATTTTATTAAGTTTTAATATGTTGTGTTTATTACTATATTATGATTTTGTTTTATCTAAGCATGTTTCTTTAATTCCAAGACAAATTTTAGTTTCTTACATTTACGGAGCTGAAATGTGGGGCTCTGAGTAATGTATTCATGTTTAGGATAGTATTGTAAGATTGTTTTCAGTATTTATTGCATGTTGAAAATAATTTTGATTATGGTTTTCAAGTTTATTAAAAAAAAAATTTTATTTGTCATTAAATAAGAGAGAACAAATTCTTATTGAAGTCATAAGATTGCTTGTCTATATCATATATAATCAGTTCAATGAAAACAAACGCTATATATAAGCTTTTTGAAACACTCTCCTGGAACCAACTGTATGAAGCAATGAGGGTAAAGTTTAATTTTCTCAAGGAAACAATGGCTTGAATCTGTTCCTGGAACCAACTGTACAAAGCAATGAGTGTAAAGTTTCTTGTTCAAAGAAACAATGGCTTGCTCCTGAGGAGGTTTGAACCCACATGGCCAACAATCTTTGGATAATTAGTCTGAGGCTTAAACCACTTAGCCTACACAGCCACTTCCCAGGCCTTGTAGGGGTGTAGAGAATAATATAATGAAATAAAAAAAGTACAACCTTTGTTTAATGTTAAGCATCACTGTTCAGAGAGATGAAGATTTTGTTTGCTAATGAGAGGTATTACTCTACAAGTATTGAATTTATTGTGAAATCTTACTTTAAAAAAAAAAGAAAGATACTATAATTGTAAAGAAATGATTCCACAGAGGGGGTATGTAGTCTTTCAGCAATCAGTGACAGACCCTTAGGGGAAAGAACTAATTCAAATAATATTTTTGACAATTTTTCCCATCTCCCTAAAAACTAAAGCCAAGGCCATAAATTTCATTTTTAAAAAAAAACCAAATAATTCAGTTTTTGAACTCCCCAAAAAACTGAACTATTTGGTTACTGGACAAGTTTACCAATGCACAAAGGAAGTCTTGTATCTTTTCATAGGAAAACAGGGCTTTACTCCGTATATTTGGAATTTCATTTTCAAAGTCGAAAAAGCGTTTTCGCCCCCTATTTTTTTCTATTTTGTACA